AACTGACTCCCCGTGGAGACTTCAGCTGACATTGCCTCTCGACTTGAAGCCGGTTTAACATGAATCCCACCAGCTCAGCAAACGGGGCGAGCTCGTTTCTGATGGCTAGGCATTGGTTTTCCCTATTCATTTTGAGACTTTGAGCGCATATCCATGGCCACACACGGGAGTTCAGTTTGACGGTGGTCCCAGCCAAAACCTGCGGTGCATTTAATACGAGTATGTGTGGTCGTGATCTAGGACAAGTTCCTGGACGCCTCTAGTTCAGGGCGAATTGAAGGTTTAACATGATATTCGGGGTAGCTCGCACTGATCTTTGACTTTTCCAGACTCCGGCTAAGGCGATAACGCGAACGTTAGCTGAATTAAAACATTCTGTTATCTTAATCACGACTAGAGCAGGCCAAGATTCCAAGAGGTTCAATCGTGCGCGCTTATGCGGCTGATATAATTTTGTTGGGTATCGTACCGCTCATATCATTGCCCGTTATGTTGACAGGAGTTTGACCACTCCCTGAGGTACATAGCGCCCCATCGTGTTCATTAGTGTTAATTTTATTTTTCCTCGACGGCTGTCATTTCCCACCATTGTTGCTGTTTTATTCCGGTTATATTTCAGGCCATTTCCATCCATTCAACACTAGTTCGTTGTCATCATCATTATCACTAAATAAATGTTATCAACAGTATACGAGTCTCCAGTAAAGGTGTGCTTCTTCATATGATTTCTTGTTTTCGAAGGTATCAAATAAGATTTTTCAGTTAACCCGATGGCGATAGCAGCGCCTTCACGGCAAGGTGCCAACTTGTGTACTAATCAAGCAAGCCTTATTAAAATTGCACTGATATGTTTGGTTATTTCTTCAGCTGTACAGGTTTGTAGTACCATCTTAATTCTTTCAAGCTTTGAAAAATGGAAAAAAAAGAGAAAATCAACGCTATTCAAATGTTCTCCTCGTGTCACTTATTGTCCCGTTGGTCATCGAGTTCCCGAAGCGGGCGCCAGTAGCGGCTTGTCCATTCTTTCCATTCTTACTTGCCCTGGCGAATGGGAGATCAATCGATACATATCTAGCCTATTTGGGCATTTTCCTATTCGCCGAATCCTCGATTCTCCGCTGCCTAGATCGTATATTCACCTTTCGAGGTTTTCCCATTCCTCGATTCAACGACTGTCCTCGGATTCAACGATATGCCAGTTATGCTTTGCATTGCCAATGCAAGCTATGAATGGAGCTTTAACTCCTGGCTCCGGTCCTAACTCTTGGTTGAACTCGCCCTCGACCCATCCCCAGATATAAGTTTATGTGAGTCCACACCTTGGCGTTCACAACTAACTAACTAACTAACTAACTCAAAGGTGTTTCGCAGTTTTGCTGCAAGTATGAATGCATTACATTTTCTGAGGGGAAATGGAGTTTCTTGTCACCTGATCCTGACTGATATCTTGCTTTCAGTTGTTATTACCAGTTATCAATGAGTATGGAAAGTGGTTGTTCTTCTTTGGCCATAGCTTATGTCAAATGTGTGCTTACTTACGAGTTGTAATGGAACGAATTCGCGAGAGTTATCGCTTCCTGCAAATAACGATCCTATATTTTTCCCGGAAATTTTTCCGGTCGAAACCTGGACGGTGATTATTTACGTTTATTCCACTTGTCTTCTTCTTCAGCTTGCAGACTTCGTGATGACGCGCTGCGATGCGCTGTAACGTCCGTCGACGCGCTACAAGCGCAACAGCGCTGCTTCCAAAGCTGCGAACGTATCCGCAGACGGCAATCGATCGGTGCCGTCCGCTTGTGTAATTAGAGAGTTTGGGGCAACAGGAGGGTACGCGTCGCCTAATCACGCCGTCTGGTATCGATCGGCACTGACCACTAGGGCTTTGGGAGAGTACAGAAGAATGAGGGAGTACCAGATTGTATGAAGGCAGCGCTTGCCCTCTTATCACAAGCGGAGCGTCGGTCGATTTCTATCGACATCTATGGAATTGGAGCACCGTTAGAACCGTAGCGTGTCGACGCGCGTCATCGCGACTACTGAACGCTGCCTTAATAGTTAGTATTGCTGCTTTTAGGGAGCGAAGCCAGTGGCTGTCATCCGAGCGATTTCTGAGGATGAACTCCCGGACCATGCTCGAGAGCAAGAAGCTTTAGTTGCTCTTTCTGCAGCTCAGTCGAGTAGGCAGTCTGGAAATATCAAACGTGTGAGTTGCCATTCACATCACACCGTACAAAAAACTGTCGTTGCGTTTGTGGAGCGGAAAGAGTTCGAGGTTTTGACTAGTCGCTGACAGGCGTTCAATTCCATTCCTTT